CCTGCCGCTTCTCCTCCTGCTGCAGGAACTGCCGCGGGGGACAGCCCCCGTCACCCTCCCCTTCCCCTCAAAGCCATCGCTTACAGCTTTTCGGGTACTTGCCCCAAACTCTGCTGGGGAACCTCGTTGGCCCCGGAGAGGTCCCTGTACCTGCTTGGCCCTCTCCCTCTGCTTGGCCCCGTCAGCCTCCTGGACCTTCAGGTTCTCCTTGAAGACGGCCAGGCGGATTTTGGCATCGCAGCGCTGGCTTTTCAGCAGCTGAGCCCGCTCCTGCACCTGCTGGCTCCTCAGATCCTCCAGCAAGAGCTGGTGGAAGCGGTTCATCCTCTCCATCTCCTGGGAGAGGGGCAGGGGGGTGAGCCAGGAGAGGGGCTGGGAGCCAGCAGGGCTGGGAGAGCGTCACCGGCCGTTCCCACCTCACCTTCTCGTGGCGCTTGCGGAGCTGCTGCCTCTGCAGAGCATGCTGGTCCTTCACCTGCTGCCTGAAGAGCTGGTACTTCTCCTGCAGGTGCCCCTGCTCCATGCTCCACACCACCGATTCACGGGCTGCCAGGCAAGACCACAGCACCATGACCACCTCCAAAAACCCCCAGCCAGATGCCCTGCTCCCCTCCCCAGGAACCCTCTACCCTCCTCCTCCCAGCCCAGTGCACCTCTCCTGAGGCTATGGATCTTGCTGATGCACTCCCAGTTGATGGATGTCATCTTCTTCTTGTGCTCCTGGACCACCTTCTGCAGGGCTGCATTGAGTTCCTCCTGTTGCTGCTGCAGGAACCGCTGCTCCTGGGGCAAGCAACAGAGGGGCTTGGTCCCAGCACCCAGGGGAGATGATCCCCAGGCTCCCGATGGCACAGGAGCTGCCCCAGACCCTCACCTCTCTCCCATTGCCCTTGAGCTCTTGCATCCTCCTCCCAGAATCCTTCTCCTGGAGGGACTTGAGGCGCTTGGCCTCATCTCGCAGCCTCACCGTGTACTCGAGCTCCTGGCGCTCCTTCAGCTGCTGGTAGCGCCGCTCCAAGCTCTCCACCTCCCGGTCGTAAAACTCCTTCTTGCTCTGCCAGCAGATATGGGTTAACCAGGCTGCAGGGACCAGAAGTGGCCACCAAAGCAACCAAACCCCCCCAGACCCTGGCATCTCCCACGGCAGGACCCCAGCACCCCTTCGCACACGTCCTTCTCTGACCATAGTATGGTACCGAGGGAAGATGGCTCAGTTACCATCATCTCCTGCTCAATGTGACGAAACATTTGCTCCCGCTGCTGGTGGAGCTTCTGCTCCAGCTGGCTCTGAGCTCGCTGTTCTTCCTTCTGTAGCACTCGCAGCTCACGGAGCTCCTGGCGCCTAAAGGTTTGGGGAATCGGGGTGAGAGGGGCTCAAAGGTGGCCCTGGAGGCACCTCTCTCTCTCTCTCTCTCTCTCAAGATGGCTGACTTGTAGGTGGCTAAAGGAAGCGAGCAGCTCAGCCCTGGTGCAACATCATGGAGAAGACTTTTCTCCAGCAAGAATGAAGATGGGATGCTTGTTAGGTCCGTGGTGGCCATGCTCCCAAGCTCAGCTGATGTTGCTGCCCCTCCATCTCCCCCTTTATCCTTTCCTACTCTCCTTGGGGGACATGAGACCTTGAGGAAAGAAGAGGGGAAGATCTTCTCCCATAAGCTGGCTGCTGGACACACCAGATACAGGGCTGAGCAACCTTTTGGCTCCTCACACGTCCCTGCTGCACAGCGCTGAGGATGCAGGGAAGGGCTTGCTCATGGTCTCCTGCTAGAGTAGACCCTGGCCAGGGAGGCAGAGGGGTTTTCCAAGCCCGGAGGTCAAGCACTTGTGTTTTGCAGAGCCCCACAGACCCATTCTCCCTCCTGCACCCTCTCTCCTTTACCCCTGGTCCTCCTCAGCCAGCAATGGGTGGAAGATGCCCAGTGGCCCCTCCACTACCAGCATCACTCACCGAGCCGAGCGTACCATCTCATCCCTTGCCGCAGCCTTGCCGACAGTCCTGGCGGTCGTCACGCTCACCTCCTCCCCATCCACCACAAACCTCCGGGTTTTCTTGACCATCCTTTGGAATGAGGCATGTTCCTGCAACCGGGAACAACAGTTCGAGCTCAGATGGCCCAAAACTACGTAAACCCAACATGGGAGCCCATGCAAGGTGGGGGCAAGTTCACATGGCCACGTTACCCACAAGCTTCTCACCTGCTGGTCTTCCCTGGCAGAGGAGAAAGGCTGCGCTGCTGCAGGGAGAGCTCTCGGACTTTGTACATCTGCAGGGTTTTCCACAGGGGATGGCTCCTCTCCTTGCTTTGACGTGATGGATGGATCAGGTGTGTTCCCTACTTCCCACACTGCCCGCGCCTGGGAAGAGGTGCGGACAAGAGCAGCGTCAAAGCTCACGGTCTTTGTGGCTTTTGGATGTCCACCAAGGACCTCCTGGGGCTCTGGCACTGCTTCATGACCCTCTAAGCCACCCATCTCCTCTCCAGGTCCATCTCTTGATGGCCCTTCAGAAGCTGGAGCAACCTGCACCCCTTCTTCTCCAAGCTCTCCATCATTTCCATCTTGTCCTTTCCAGCCGTTCCCATGAGCAGCTCCTGGCTGGTCGTCTCTGGGGCTGTTTTCCATTTTCTCTTCTGTTTCATCTTCAACAGGCCCCGGGATCTCCACAGGAGACATATCCTCTGCTGAACTTTGGGCCTCTTCACTTGCAGGTCCCTCTCCTGCACATACTGCAGAGGCTGCCTGCAGTTCTTCTCCTGCCAGCATCGGTTCCCCCAGGCTGGCTGCATCTCCCGCCAGTTGACAGTTTCCAATCAAACACTCTTTGACAGCATCCTCTTCCAATTTCATTTCTGCTGGCACCAGGGCTTCCTCAGGAGATGCTTCCACCCCAGCAGTTTCAGCCTTGTCTGTGGCTTCCTCCTCACTCCTCCCCACCTCCCGCTTGACCACGTCCAGGGGGCCAGCAATGGACTCGCACCCGGCTGAGTTTCTCTCTCTGTTGTTCCTCTCTCCGGCCTCTCCCAGACCAGCCAGAGGCACCTGCCACCCCTTGAGAACGTCTGACCCCACCACTACCTCCTCCATCACACTGGGTGTCAGCGATTCTTCAGCCTGTGGCACCCTCACTTCCACCAGCTCAGTGTCCCCAGGCTCTCCAGCACCCTCAGGTCCCATGGGTGCCCTCCCTGCTCCACTGCCATCCTTCCCAAGGCCATCTTCAGCCTTGGTGGAGCCAACATCAACCTTCAGGTCTAGCAACGATTGAGTAACCTGGTGCTGATGCTTTGCCAGTGACTTGAAGCTCTGGGGTTTGGTCCCCGTGGTCCACAGGTCCAGGGCTGCCACCAGCTGCCCCACAGCCCAGCCCCTGGGTCTGGGCCAGGCCCCATCCGTGGGTAGAGGTAGGGCCAGTGAGTTCCAAGTAGGCTCTCTACTTGACTCCTTTTTTGTGTCACTTTTGAGGGTCAAAATGGGGCTTGGTTGGGCTGCAAGCTGTCCCTCCGTGGGTGCTTTGGCCACCGGTGATGTGTCAGCACGTTGGCTTTCCTCCTGGGGCTCTTCCTTGGGTCCAACCCGCTCTGCCTTCAGCTCTCGCAGTTCAGCAAGGTCTCCTGCCTGCTGTGGCCCCGAGGGGAGCTCAGCCACATTGCAGGGGGTCCCCAGAGGGCTGGTCTCCTCCTCTCGACACCCGTGAGCTTCTCCTCCTGCCTCTGCTGCAACTGATGTCCTTTGAGGAGCATCCAGCACCATGATCTCCAACGCACTTGGCGCTGCCCGACGCTGCTCCTTCGCTGTTTCTTGGGACTTCATCCCTCCAAAAAACGACCTGCGCCGCATCAGCTTCAGAAACTCAGACGGCCTCTTCGCAGGGAGCCTGACGGAGCCCACGGGCTCGGGTGAGGACCTCCTCCTCATTTGCTTCAAGAAGTCAGACGCTCTCTTGGTCTTGGGCTCTGCCACTGCCTGGACATCAGATAGGGTGCCCAGCTCCTCGCGGACGCTCCCCACGGCGTCTGGGGGGTGATGCTCCAGGGGACCCCCTGGCATCGGGGGGCAGGGGGACTCTCCATGCTCCTGCCCAGGCTGTGGGGTGGACAACAGGAGAAGAGGTGAGGCTCAAAGAGCTCGTGGAAAGGGTTAGAGGGATCTTGCACCCCAGCCAGCTGCTACTCACGCACCAAGGGGACCGGGCCTTCCTGCTCATCCTCTCCCTC